AGCAACTGCCATGTGATTGGTTGATTAGATAATTGCATTAATGAGAAATTGAACAGGTGTTCCTAATAATCCTTTAGGTGTGTGTATATATATATGTATATATATATATAATATATATATATATATATATATATATATATAATCTTTCAATATGCACATGAACAAAGGCTGCTTTTCTCAACTTTATTTGGTATTTCCAAATATTCAGGGATATGTTAAATACTAATGGTTCCCAGGTCTATATGTTTATTGCACAGAATTCAATGGGCTAAAACAATGTTTATGATTCTGTTCTCCTAGAAGTGCAGAGAACACACTAGATTATACTAAAAGGAACTAAACACGGAAATAATCATAGACTAAAAGGTTTTGTCCTGTTCATTACAATTCTTATATTTACAAATAGCTATTTGTTTATTTAGTAGATGGTATTATCCAAAGCACCGTACAAATGAGGAAGCAGCGTCAGGTAGTCCCTGGAGCAACTGGGGTTAGGACCTTGCGCAAGGGATCAACAGTGATATTACTTTCTAAAATGATTACATTTGGATTACCTAACTCAGAGTAAATACTGTCATTTAGTCCCATACATGATGTACTTATAATGTAAAATTGAAAATTTCAGCCATATAAAATAAATATGTTAAAGGAAACCAGGAAGAGAATATGAACAGTATTTTGCAAATGGTGTGTACCATCATGAAATTGCTTCTATCTTTTGAACATTAAAGCCAAAAAACAGTTCAATAAAAAACAAGTTAATCAAACAACAGATAAAACCAGCAAATATGTTTCATGTGACTAAGGGTTTAATAGCTGGCAGAAGCTCCCTTTTTTCTTTCTCTCTGCCACAGTTTTGAATAAAAGTAAACATGTACATGAATAATTCCAGCATCTCACTGTTCTGTGATGTGAAAAGATGGTGGTGATATTTTCCAGTATGATTGATGCAAGCAAGCAGAAGAACTTCTGTCTCCTACTCAGCCTCATTTTGTAGAGATCAGAGCTAAGGATATGTTTTATGAAGAAGCTTATGTGAATATAATAGAAATTAAAAGTAAATTAAAATGTATTGAGTACAACCATGTATTTCCTTGTGCCACAATGCCTTATATCCATGCTCTAAGTGTAGATGCTTTGGAAGAAGTGGTGGTAATATGCTGTCAGTTGTGGGATACTAGTATAATATAATGATTATAATAATATAATAATGTATAATTCTGTTAATTATACATATATAATAATGATTCTGTTTTCAACATGTCTTCATTGTTTACTGAAACTTACTCTTTTAAATTGAGGAAAATGCTATTGCTGTGAAGATAGCACCTGCTGAAACTTAAGAACAATTTTGTGAATGAACTGCTATGTGTAAAGGCTGAGATAAGGCATACAGTAGATCAAGATGAAAAGAGATGGTGTATGTTTAAAATAAATCTGTGGCTGAAGGAAACTGTCTTATCAAAGGCCCACTGAGCATGGATGCTGAAATACAGCAGGGCATGGGAAGGTAAACTCCTGGGCTAGACCCGCAGGCTCCACCCATGGCATGGAAACTTCTGCTCTCTTATGGGTCATTCCAAGTTTGAAACAGTCCTGCTGTTACTGCTCAGTAAAAATAAATCTAGAGAATTTATGTTCATTGCTGCATCTAGGTCTTGCTTATATGTCTAAAAACACACTTTCATTTTGTTGGAAGTCCATTAGCCTTCTCCAGTCTCAGGTTCCTTCCTCATTTCCTTAGCCTTGACAGAGGCCTTCGTGGAAATTTTCACCTTTCTGGGATCTTTTGCAGACTCCTTTTCAGCCTCCATTAAGGATTCCTTCATACAATCTTTCAATACAGCATCTGGAATTGGAGAGGTGACATGATCATTTATTTTACCAAAACTGTTGACATCAGTACCAGAAGAGTATGAAACCAACAGGTTTCTAAGATGTGTTCAAATACACTGGGGGATCATAAGTTATTTCATATGACATTGTGAAAACAGTACACTTTTGCATTAAGGGCAGCCTTTATTTAATTATTTAAGAGTGTTCCTTCTCTTTTAATCAATGTTCAATCCACGTGGCTGTGGACTGTGCAGCACACATACTTAGTCGGCATCAAACCTACAGCTCACAAATGTAACAATTACAGAATTACACAATTACAAAATATATGTAGCCGCAAATTACAGTAATAAATAGCCAAATAAAATAAAAGTAAAACATTGTCCTTCTACCTTCATAATTTCTCAGCAATCAACTGAAATCCAAAAGGATTTAAAAAGGAGTAAAACACAGGCCAGCTGTGCAAACATTGGTCTTAATCTCTAAAAGCCATGGTACGTTTAGCACAGAAATTGGAAGCTTGTAGTCGAGACCACATCTCCCCTGCTTGTGGTGCATTATATTATATGGCCAGCTAGTGGATAACACTCACATGCTGCTGTAGAGACACTAGTCACTTGGGTCAGGTTAAAAAAACATCAAATAAATGAGACACCTATTCTATCTAAAACAGCCTGTGATTTTCATTCAGCTTGTGGAATTCTGTGGGAATGTGACATACAGGTTATCTACAATAACAGTAATAATGACTTTTATATATTTTTATTTTATTTTGTCCAAAGTGATGCACAAGTGTGGCAAGTAGCACATATATTTGTAATTTCTGTGCTGTCAAGAAGGGTGTAGATTTGGGTATAGATGA